GAATCAATCATGCTAGATGGAGGGCCAGCATGCATATCGCTCTGGCAGAAGTGGACATTGATATATTGTTTGGAATTTAATATTTGTAAACAATTTTTAAGGAGAAAGTATATCTAGACAAAAAAAAGATGTCCCACTGAAAAAATAAAGACAAAAAAAGAAGAAGTATGAATTCCATTTATTTGTATATATGAAATGACACAACTTGTGTCATTTATAATAACACACACTTTTCCTATTTTTTAATGGAGTATTGATAGATATGTGGGTCCAAGATTGAATGTGTTGTAGATATAAAATCGTTAATGTAAGTATGTAACCACACCCAATGTTTAAAGTTTTGAATTGAAATAAGAGGGAAGATATTTTTACTAGCAAAAAAATTCACTACCAATCTATTACCTATCTAATTATCATTGGATCAGTATTTTCTATTTCTTCATAAACTTTTCAGCATTCTCTCTCTCTCTGATCCAATGATGATTACATAGGTAATAAATTTTTTTAGTAATAAGAATATCCTCCTCCTTGAAATAATTTCTTACATGGTATCAAAGCTGTAGTGATTAAGTCGTCGTGAGTTCGATCCTTACTGATCCTACTTTGTGGTGGAATTAAGTAAGCAAATTAAAAATGGGCCTATATAACACAAAGGTAGATAAAAAAATGAGTTTGTGCAATACTTAAGCTTTAAGCTCAAAATACTTTTATGTGAGAGGATATGTTAAAGAGATATAAAATAATTAATATAAACTCATCCAATATCTTAAAATTTTAAGTTGAAATGATCTTTTACATCTAGATAGAATTCTACATTCGTTATGTTTGAAAGTGCAATCAAGTATCATAATTCTTTTTCTAGCATGACTTTACGTCAAGAAAAAAATATAAATGTTGTTCGTTAAATGATGAGTAGAAAAAGAGTGAGAAAATGTGTGAATTCTCGAAGCGATTTTATTTAATAAGTAATTTTTTTTTTTGTATACATATTTAATAAGTAATTTGATTCTGAGCACATCTTATCAGACTTCTGTAGAAAATGAACTAGTTTAGTAATTTTTGTAGTTTAAGTTTGAAGGCATGGTATTGTATTGCTGTTGTTGAACTATGATATAACTTGGTGATAAATTTGAACCAAGTGATTTTCTATTTTTTGTTTTAATTTTGGTTTGCTAACCCGTTTAACTTGGGTTGATCTGGGTTAGTTATTTTTGACTTACCACCAAAGTGATTCAAGTCAAATTGACTTATTGAGTTCACTGATTAATTCACGCAAGCCGAGTTAGCTCACTTTGACACTCAGCTAATATGATGAGTTTTTTTAACCGTGGCATATTTCACAAATAGTTATTTCCAACCTGAACATATTTCACAAATAGTTATTTGTTTAATCTATCAACACTAATACGAATTATTTACTACAGGAGTTTACCCGATAAATATCTTGCTAATTTTATTTTTAAAATAAATATGTAACCATATAACAGTTTAATTTAAATGAGTTTATTATGAGTTGATACAAACACAAATATCTTAACTCAAACACGAAACAATTTTTTTCATATCAGTTTTTTTATTGATACAAACAAATATGAATATAAATAAGCGTTGACATGAACACAAAAATTCTATATTATATTCGGATTATTAATGTCTTGGGTTGAAAATTGCCGCTCCTAAATTATTTGTTTTGGGTCTATGATGTTGAGTGTAAGTTTAATTTGAAAGTTATATAATTTTTTATTTAATTCGTTTAAGCAATAAAAGTATCCCTAATTGATTAATTTTTTTTTTAACATCACTAAATAGTATTTTTTTTTGTTGCATTAAAATTGGAGCAGAACTTAAGTTTAATAGTTTTATTGAGATTTTTTCATGAGTGACTTGTATAATTCCGTGTAAGAAAAGAAAGTGTTGGTACGGAAAAGACCACAATTATTATCTCCACCTATTTGACATATTATTTTTTTCAATCATTAAGCTTCACATAACAGGTGCTATACCACTTTAGGTTCAAAAATCACACACATTGGCAGATTCCGCAACACTAAAATCTTTGATGGGTTTGGTTATTAGGTATAATATAACATTTGCTCATGTTATTCCAACATAACCACGAGATATGATTGATAGATGTATTCCTTCTAATAATGGCTGAGATTCTGGCACAATATGCTTCCCTTTATGGGTATCACAGATCATGTCCTAATAAAGCTGTTTTTAGCCCTTGTTTATTTAGTAGTGTATAAGACAATCACATGAGATTGGTTATTTAATTATAAACCCTCGCTTTGCCATGCTCTCATATATATATATATATATATTTTGTTACCTAGCTAGAAGGTAGGAGGAATCCTCATTTGGTGGATAGGGATATGCCCGCATGAACTTTTCTATGCAGTACAGATACTAGAGCACGATTGTTCATTTTTTTAATGAGGTAGCGGAACATGATTATAGATCACTTTTCCTAGTTCACATATATATTGTAATTGGGTTATATTTATCTTATTCAACATGAGATAGACCAAATTTTTACACACACATAACAAAAGTGGGTCTCACCTCTATTTTTTTTCTCTCCAATTATTTGTTGGTCACTCTTATAATTTTGTTTTATTAACATAATCTCCAACAAGATAAGAAAAACATTTCTCATTGTAATTTTATATTTTTTTGAAAAGCAAAAGTTTAAAGGGAGGGCAGAGTTACTCTGTTATAATGCATGCCATCAACATAAAAAAAAAAGTTTATAATAATATTTACGGATCAAATATTCAAAAAGATTGATGGCAATAAGAACTATACATGCTTATAAATTTAGAGGGAGGACAACGTTTATATTTATGTTTGCATATCACTTTAAAAAATTATTGACAGTACTACTAGGTATTGAATATAAACATTTTAGGTTAACTATGTCGTAATAATAGATCCGGACTCTTAGAATATTAGCTTTTAGTTATTAAATATTCGTTGAAGTTAGAATAAAGGTTTGAAAATCTATATCTCATTCCTTTTAAATATTGCAAGCGAAACTAACCGAAAGGTACTTGCAATCGAGTTGTTAAAATTGTAGTTCTAGTAAAGAAATCATTAAGTAGAATAAAACTGTTTAATTTATATCTTAATCTCATTTCATCTCTATTTTATATTATATATAAATATAATAACATTTTTCTTGAATATGACTCATCTGATATGTTAGAAAGTTCGTTCGCACCAAACACAAGTGGTCCTAGTGTCTGGAAAATTGCAAAATAAACAAATACAATAATAATAGAAAATAAGATGAAGATGATTGACTTGAGTTCTTATATATGAATGGTTTATTGCCCATCAGTTTTGAAAGTGAACTGGCAAGGCAACATTCTCCAATCAACAAGCTTAAAACTGGGAAAACAAAAAAGAAAAAAGAAAAGAAAAAACTCTAATCAATCAATTTGAAATTTTCTAATAATAAGAATCTAGAATTGTATGCTAAGAAAGTCGTAAGTTGAAGACAGGTTGCTAACCTTTTTCTCTGTCCACAATTAAATTAAGTTTTACAGTGAAGTTTCTAAATAGAGAAAGATAGTTGACTTGAGAGTGAAGAAGCCACAAGCAAGCAACCCCAAAGATTTTTACTAAACTTGGAAGGTATAATAAGCTAGGTAGATTACCAACTTTAGCATGAAATTAGGCCGCATGCAAGTGAAATGGACGTTGACTCTTCAAACTTCCTCTCCTCCCCAAACTATGCCAGCTTTTGTTGTATGAGAAAAAAATAAAAATAAAGCACAATGGTATATAGCTTTATATAAGTGTGTGAAAAATTTAAATTATATTAAGATATATAATAACAAAGATAAATAATAATTATTTCTATTAGAAAAAGTGCATGGATAGACATTCTATCGAAAAATTAACTACAAAATTCAGATTTGATGGGTCATTTTCAGATTAATGATGTATGGAGAAAAACAAAAGCAAGACACAGGCACAAACCGTTATTATTTAATAATCTTCAACACTTGGTAGGTTTAGATGGGGGAATAGGTCTTGAGTAGAGTCAAGGCAATTTATGGGGTCCAAATTAAGACAAGTCAAGGACACTCAGGCTACACTTGACCTAAACAATAGGTAGAGAGTCAACAAAGCGACATTTCCAATAAGAAAAAGTTGGAGTAAGAAATATTACCGCAGCAAAGGCCCATATGTGTATACGTACCAAAGTGCACCTTTTAATTTGGGGTCATAGTGGATGATGTAAGCGGGCCCAGTCTCACAATTACATAATTTGGATGTTGGGCCTAAAAGAATGTCTGTATGAATATGTACGTTTAGTGCTGTGGCACCTGTTGCTAAGAAAACAATTAAGAGATTTAGGGCTCGTTTGGTGAACAAGATAAGATAGGAGTAGAATATGATATGAGGCTGATAAGGGTAGAACATGATATGAGACTGATAAACTTATATTATGTCCTGTGTTTGATGAACACTTGATTAGCAATCTGATAAGATTATGTAGAAGGAGAAAGAAGAAAGAAAAAATAAAATATAATGCAATAAATACAAATATATTGGATAACGTGGGAATATATTGGGTAGCGTGAGAATATATTAAGTATCCAATATTGATATCTTATCCTGTTGAATCCTAAACCAGCTCCCCCCACAGGATAAGAAATCATGTATTAGATAAAATAAAATAAGACAATAGGATAAACTAATCATATCCTATTGACCTACCAAACAAGAGATAAAAGTAGAATATGATAAATCATCCTATCCTATCTTTTTTATCATATGCTCCAAACAGGCCATGTGTTTTTCGATTATATGAGATTAAGTTTTATCATGTAACCCAAAACGATGTGTTACGAAAAAAAAAAAAAGTGTAGATATATTTGTGCAACTCAAGGATATAGAAACTTTCTTACTAACATTTAAATGGTAGGAGGAATACACCATGAAACATGAAACTATTAGCTCATAAATCATTAAGTATCAATCTCAATCATCACATCCATAATTATTTTCTTAAACAATCTCTAGCTTCTTGCAGGATGCAGCGTTGGTGATGACAAAACCAGCTTTTCATGCTAGACACCAGAAGTTTCTACAAGAATTTTATAGATGAAAAGAATGGAGTTACCCTAAAACAAAATATTGAATACTAAAGCTACTGCAGAGATATCTTTCTTCACAGCAACTTTTGGGAAGATTTTGATGAAACTAACTGATAATCAGTGTGAAATTAAATTCTAGAGGAAGAATATTTTAACAACTTATTTCAGCTGTATAGTAGTACACAACGACATCTGTTTTGTGGTACTTCCTTAAGTTGTAGTAAGCCCCATGATTCCCAGATCACTCTGACGATAATGAGGTTTGAGTTGGTAACACCCTGGTACATGTTAAAAAAATGTAATAAAGCAATTAAGCTTTTCACTTTAAGCAGGGCTTTGGTCAAGGGTTTCAAATCCTGCAGAGAAGGGGTGAAGGATGTATCTAAGAGCATAATACTTGTGCAAAAGTGTTTCCCAAACTTCCCCCCTCTCCGCCCCATCTTGAGTAATTTTAGTGAAAGTTGATATCCAAAAATTGTTCAGCAGGTCGGATACACCCAGCTTACACTTTAATTCACCAAATCAAATCATGGGAGAGAAACATTGTGATAGTGTAATCCATTAACCTCCACTATAGGCTGCACAGCACATTTTTCTGCATTGTCTGAGTCTGACGCAAAGAGGAATGAAGGACCAAGCAATTCACTGCATGATTCTGGCATGAAACTGTATAAAAGAAAAACTGGATAAGCCAGAGAAAAATGAGCATGCCTTGCTGCCCAACTTTTCTAACATATGAAAATGGTTTCGCACAATTTCAAATCAATGATCCACCTGTCAAAAAAAGGTAAGCAGAAAACAGTTGACCAATGGAGAAAGCACATGATACGAAACTAGTAATCAGAGCTGAAAATCTTATTGTATTAACACCAGAATTGGCTCAGCTACTTGATATGACCTGATACCAATAAAAGAAGACATGGATTTACATTCTACCTCTCAAATAAAATAGAAAAATGAAAAGAGAGACATAGAAATGTAGGCGAGGGTCCTGCCTCTTGCCTGCCCAAAGGCCCTAAGTTCCCACTCAATTTTCTGGATGCCTCCACTAGGATCCTTCTTCCCCCTTTATGCTTGCCCCCCCCCCCCCAATGTTTTCCCCTTTCCTTCCCACACCCCTTCAGGGATGTGCATGGGTCGAATTGAACTGAATTTAAAGAAATAAAGTAATAAAATGGTTTGGTTTTTGAATTGGTACTTTAAAAACCAGTTCGGTTCATGAATTGGTTTTCAAAATCCGGTTATTTTAAGTGCAGTTCGGTTCAATTCACAATTCAGTTCAGTTCAATTTAGTTCTTTTGCACACCCCTACACCCCTTGCCATGTAAGCAAGGTTGTTATTGCCCAATTCCCACTTCTGTCCCTTGTCCTTTCATCCCCTATTATTCTTTTTATCATCTCTTAACTTAACACATAAGTTACTCCCGTTAATTTAGTGTACTTTATTTGTGGATTATATACACTTAAAAGCAGCTGTACCATACATTATACTGCGTCATGAAATTCATCATATAAGCATCTAGCATTAAGTTAGAAATGCCTAATACCTCAGCTTCAATTTCATCATATAGAAACCTCTGCTTTAGCAACACCAAGGCAGGCTTGCTGAGCTGAATCATTATAGATGTTGAATGGCATCACTCAAGAAGACCAGAATTCAGTGACTCAAATACACAATCCACCAACATCCAGGGTAGAGAGCATTCAATTGGGAAACTACACGGAACAAATTAACTAATTTTAGTACAAGAGAGTAAAGTAGAAAACAAATGCACATAAGAAAGGAAATCCAAAGAAAAGGCCACAAGAATTGGAAACTTACTATGACCCTTTTTCATATTTTAAAAAAAAAACATTTCCATGAATAACTCGTCCAAAAACCAAAAGCAGTCAATATGCAGACTTAGCAAAATATTACCAAGTTATCATCCTTCATTTGCTTGTTATTTCAGTCTCCATTAGTAGTCTACATAAAATTAACAAATTTGGGACAGGGTGGGGAGTTGGGGACAGCTAAAGTACACTGGAATAGAGACAAGGCATTAACCTCTAAAGGGTCAGGCAGGAAAAAGGAAAAACATCTATAAGAGAGGAGTCTTTCAAAAAATAAAAACCATCATCCTGCTATCTCCATTTTCTCGGAAATACTGCATTCCAAGCTGCTAGCCTACCATTATTTGATGATTTTTTGATTCAATTACAAGTAAAAATAGATTTCTATGACTGAAAGGTTGGAATGTGATATCTTGCAAGTAGCTAGGAAATATATAGCTGCTCCTATTTAGGAGCATTTCTGGTGAACATGATAGATTTGAAATTCAAATAATCTTGTGGTGATAAGTATTACCTGAATAACTCGCGAAGACTCTAAATAAAATTCTCTAAAGTCACTGATTTAATTACATACGAAGAAATAACAATTTTTTCCCTGTGCTTCGTTTAAAACATTCGTAAGACAATGCTCCAACCCAATAATAGAAAACTCAGGAGAGAAGTAATTTCTTTTTTGGAAAATCATCTTCCAGCTTATAATAAGAATAAAATGAGCCCGAGTACGCAACTTCATCCAATCCATAGATTTCAGTCCAACCATTAGCAATAGACAACAGATAATCATCTAACAAAATAGTCAAACTCAAATCAAGCAACTTCTATACCATATTTGCTTTAAAAAGTAGGGGTGAAGGGATGAATTGACTTACGCAAAAAATAGCTCCTCCAAACCTCGCATAAGGAACACCATTTATGAACAGCCATGACCAAGTCCAGTAGCTGTAGAAAGTAAGACAGAAAAAGGGAACAATGCTGTGTCTCACTCTCCAAGGGTGTAGCAGATTCTGGGAAGTGGCGGATCTTACAATCTCATAGTCAGCATAACAAGCAGCACCCCAAATGCCCAGTACAACACTAGACTTATGCTAAGACCAGATATGGTGCTAGTTGCCTGGTGGTTGCCTTGTTAGCACTCAGCAGGAATGGCTGATTATGGCAGTTCTTGGAAGTCAGATGGATTCAACACCTTGTATTTTTTGCATGGGGAAACAGCAATTTGGGAAAGCAAAATGAAAGAGAAATTAAAAGATTCACAATTCTGGTAAACTCTTGCAAAGTTTGATTGAAAACCCTAGTTCAGTTCACACTCCTCACAGTTACATCATTCCAAAGAATCGAGTTAAATATAAAAAACCCAATTGGAGACCTTGACAGGAGTAGAATGATGATGATGATGATGATGATGATGATGATAATAATAACAATATGTAATGTGAGTCATAACATATCTCTGATAAAAAATGAAGAATGTTGGAGTCAGTCAGATGAAATTGCAATTTTGCATTTAAAATAAAGAACAATTCATGAATTCTCTTCCTCATATAACAACTTATTACAACCGAGCCAAAACCTAGGAATTTTTCTCACCTCTAAAACGCAAAAAGAAAAATGGAGAGAACAAATTATGTAGCTCCAGTAGCTTTCTTCTTTCCTTCTCTCTTTAGGGGACTTCCTTCTTTTCCTTTGATCATTCTTGACAAAACATCTGCTTGCTTTGTGTTCCCCTCCTGATTAAGGCTCTTGATCAGCTCATCACGGCTGTTCCAATCTGTTGCACCTCTTTTCTCCAGAATTTTACATAAGATGGAATATGCATTGAGGGTCTTCCCTGCTGCTAAGAGGGCATCTAAAACCTTATCATAGATTGGAAAACTTATGATACACTCTCTCTCAAGAACAAAATCTAAAAGTTTGAGAGCAGCAATTGTCTTTTCTTTCTCACATAGAATAGATAAAAGGTGGTCTAAATCAGGCTCACACCCATTAAGCATAAGTAAATCAATTCGGCCCAAAGCTTCTTCAACATGACCTCTCATGAGAAGGGCCTCCAATATCTTAGAAACCAAGTCCATATTCTCCTTCACCCCCTTTTCCACCATACTCTTCATTACTCTGCTTGCGGTTTGGACCCTTCCATCTTCAAACAAACTCTCTATAATGGACCTGTAAAGAGATGATTCTGGTAGATGCCCACTTTCTAGCATGCTATCCAAAGCTGTTTTAGTATCAGCTGGCTCTCCTTTTCTCAAGTAACTCTCAATAAGCAATTTGTAGGAATCTGCATCTCTAGGAACCCCTCTCCTACACATGATCTTTATAATCTCAAAAGCAGAATCAGGTTTGCCTTCTTTTGAGTGTCCACGGATCAAATTATTAAAAGCAACTGAATCCTGTACACCCTTTTTCATTAACTGACGGAAAAACGTTTCTGCTTTAACTGTCTGCCCATTATCACACAGATACTGAATCATTGGGTTATAAGCACTAGGTTCAATTTCAAAAGAATTATGTGGCCTCAAGATGATGCCCTTCTCGATTAACTTGTCTAACAATTTCTCTGCCTTGTCATACACATTGGCCTTGCAGAAATTCTCAATCAGGACGCCATAGTGACCAGCCTCAGTGGGAATGCTCAAACGTATCATTGCTTTCAGCACATCCGCAGCTGCATCCAAGTCACCAGACTTACACTGGCAATTTAGCAGCTTCATGAAAATGGCATTATCCTTAGGGGCAATATATCTCTCCACCATCTCCCCCAAAACATTTCGAGCTTCAGCCATTTTATCCGCGTCACAAAGCCCGGGCAACAAGGTAGAGAAGGTAACAGCATTTGGTTTAATACCGCAAGACTTCATCTCCTCAAAAACCTTCAGTGCACCATCAATTTGGCCTACGGCAACATACCCTTTTAACATAGTAGTATAACTAATAACATTAGGCGCAATATTCCTCCCCTTCATCTCTACAAACAATTTCTCAGCCTCCTCCACCTTCTTAAACCGATAATACCCATTAATCAAAGTATTATAAGTGACAACATCAGGCAAAATATCTCTACTTTTCATATCTTCATACAAACGAATAGCAGTGTCTAATCTCAAAGACAAAAACATACCCCAAAGCAGTATATTATACGTATGCCTGGTGGGCTCTACACCCTCCTCCCTCAACATTGAATTGTAATACCTTTTAGCCATCATATAGCGTCCACGCCTTAGAATAACCTTGAACAAAGCATCATAAGATTTCACTGTTCGTTCAACGCCCAATTCCTTCATCTTCTGGAAGATCTTAACAGCTTCCTGAACAATCCCAGCTCTACCGTAGCCATCAATCAAGGCAACGAACACGTCCTCGTCCAAAGCAACGCCCTTTTTGGGCATGTCGAGAACAATGCAACGTGCATGGTTGAGCTTCGAGTAACGACCCAAGATTTGAATCATCTTGAGAGTGGTGTCCCTGTCATGGTTGAACAAACCCGCACGCTCCACCCAACGGTAGAACTGAAGGGCATGCTCGGGGCTCTTGGCGCCGTGAAGAACGTTCCAAACGAGGGACGGGTCGAACCGGGGAACCATGGAACGGATCGAGTTCTGCAACCGGGTGGTCCAGGCCCGGTTCGCCATCATCCTGCAGATAACAACCTCGAGTTTGTCCTTGTTCGAAACGGTGCGTTTTTCAGGTTCGGGAAGAGGTGGTTTTTTCTCTTGGGTGGAAATGGTAGTTTCTCTTGGATCGGGGTCAGGATCGGAGAGATGTTCGGCGGTGGAGGCGGAGAAGGGGAGGGAGGGTTTGGGAATGAAAGGATGAAGAGAGGGTTTCCATCGGAGAAGCTTCGAATTGGAAAGGAAAGACATGGCAATGGCGTTGTTGAGAGAGAGAGAGAGAGAGAGAGAGATGTAACAATGGCTGTAGTGTGAGGTTCTGATTCTGATGTAGCAGCCTCAGCCTTGGGGTTAGTTAGACGTTAGGGTTTAGGAGACAAGGCTTTACACAGTGTTAGTGTAGTTTACTTTTTTTATTTATTAAAATAAAATTAATAGCAGATTATACTTATCATTTTTTTATTATTTTTGGATTAAAATTAAATTAATGGTTATACATCTACAATATGTGCCAAGTTGTCAATTTAAAATATGACAAGGTACTTGGAACTTGTGGGTTATGTGTTTTTAGTCATTTTGGAAATCAATCCTTGGTAAAAAAAAAAAATTCTTATATGAAGATTATAATAAGGTTTAAAAAAAAAGAAGTAGAAAGAAAGAAACAAACATACAACTGACCCTGTAAGCTATAAATAGAGCCTTGTCACCAAACTGTGTACTGTTATCTGATTAAGTCATATCAAATTATAAGATACCACTTAGTTATAAGAAATTCACTTTCTATATTTATTAATGGAGCAAGGTTTCAAAAGTACACACAATAATATAGTTAAAAACTTCATCGTTCTAATGTTGTAAGAGTTAACGGATTAAATTAAGAAAAATTAATCTCCATCATAAGATTTAACAGATTGGGTAATCCTTTCAAGACTAAATTAAGAAAACAGCAGAGGGAATCACCTCTTCACAGATGACTTAGTAGCAGTGAAATATGATGAAGAACTAATAGTTGAAAGCATTTTGAAAAACCGAAGTTAACAACTGAAACACAAGTTGGAAGAGAATGAACTAATAGTTGAAAGCATGATGTGGATCACATCAAATATTTTCCTGCACAAACAGGCATGGTTGTATCCTTTGGCCCCTCCAAGAATTTATCTTCTGGCAATATATTAGGGGGGCTGGAGACAAGCATGTGTTTGTTTGTTAAAGGCAATTTCGAACACAAATGAATGCATGTGCATTATTATGCCAACCAAATATGGCAAGATTCACAATGAATGAAACACTGAGATTTCAATTACTAGGTTGTGGCCACAAGCATTACCTGCAGCCAAGTTTTTCTGTCCACTTCTTTGAAATCATCTCTGATATACAAAAGAGCCCCAGATATCACACCTGCACATACCCATTAATGGTCAAAGACTCAAAAGTCAAAAAACATGGACATAAAAAAAGAGAGAAATGAGTGTCTCAATGAGTTAGAAAAAATAAAAAAAAAAGTTATGATAAGATAATTTACCAGTGTCATAGCCAAAGAGGAGGCCACCGATTCCAGCAGAGAAAGCAAGGTGAAGTACATAAGGGTTGTTCCTTGAAAGAGCCAAACACTCCCTGAAAGCAGAGCCATCGGCATGTGGAACTCCTCCCTCCATGTTGTTGTTTCGTTTAGTTCAATGATACAAAAAAAAAAAGCAAGGCTCATTTATATAATTATGACGGATTCAACGCATGCATGGAAAATGGACTCTGATCAACGTTTGTGAGACCCCTTGAAAATAGGAACAGAGAGCCAGAGTGAATATAGGACAAGAAGTGAAGAGGAATACATAGAGGCGAAAGTGTAACAGTTTTTTGACTCTATTAATAGAATGTTTTTGTGAAGTTCTGATTTAATATTTTGGAACAAACCAACACAAATAATCTCCCAAAATGGTAATTTTTCTTATGAGAAGAACAAGAAGGGATTTCAAACTGAAACAAAAAAGGGACAAGAACAAGAAGTTTGCATGCTTGAAATTTTTCTCCAAGAAGTTGACCACTTCAATTTCAAAGAGATAAAGAACATAGTTTAGTTTTCCTCATGAAGTTGGTTTTATTTATTTATTTTTAAAGGACTTAAATAATGTTTTTTTTTTTAAGTAATTATGGATATAATGTATTTTAAAATCATTTTTCCTTTTAGTTTTATAGTTGTAAAATTGGGCATCCAGCTCTCATCGTACAAGCACACAATGTTTATTAACTTTACAACGTTTGTTAATAAAAAGAGAAAAATATTTGACCTTCTAAAAGATACACGTTATGTTATTTTAATTTTCATACTATATACTACGTGTAATATATGATTATAATATAAAAAATTATTTTTTCTTTTCTTTTCTTAGTCACTTCAGCTAACGTAAAGAGATAAAAAAAAAATTTCTTCATATTATAAATATGTATTACTTGTAATATATAGTATAAAAAATTAAAATAACACAACTTGTATTCTTTAGAAGGACACAAACTTAAACCTAAGAAAAATGATAGCAAATGTCCTTGTGACACTTGTTAAGTTATTTTCATCTAAATTCCTTCTTCTTCTTTTACTCTTTTTGGACATATGTATGGTGCTTTGGCTGCACCAAAAAAGTGCTCCCGGTTTGGGTTTGGATCTTTTTTCGTTGTGGGTTTCTTCCCTTAGTAATTATTTTGAGTGGTGCAAATGTGATGTGTGTGCTGAAGTGGGAGCAATGCAGCTTTGCTGGAGGAAGAAGCTAACGTGACTGTTGTATGTGAATGTTGGTGTGCAATGGGGGAGGATTTTGTCGTCTTGATTTTTGTCATTACTTTTTATTTTTAATTTATTACAAACGATATAATTTTAATTTTTTCACAAATAATTATTGCTGAATTATTTTAATAAAATTAAATTAAATTTAATCTATAAGTTCTTTTAATTTTTTTATCTTTAATTTTTTTTATTAACAAAGTTAGGGTTAAAAGTGCTATATATTTTTCTAATTTCATTTTTGTCACGTTTAGATAAAATTTATTAATATAATTTAGAAATTGAAAATTAACTTTATTTACAATTAAAAATCCATAAAAACTAAATTTATTTTAAGTAGATTAATATTTAAAATTTTTAATGACTCTTATTGATAATTTGATATATTTAATACTTAATTTTTGTAATTTATTTTTAAAAATTATTTTGAAGAATTTTGGAAGTAGCTTTTGAATTTTTATATGTATATATATGTATTTAATTAGCTTAATTGATAAAAAATTCTTTTAAAGTTGATAGCAAAAGCTAGCCTGACTCACAAAGTGGTCTCTCCCCCTTTTTAATAGGTGTTATATATTATTAGTTGAAGTATGTAAGATTTATCAAATTTATTATCGCTAGATAAAAATAAATAATTAAATAATAAAGCAATGGTTCATAAATGTTATATTAAAGTAATTAACGCGTGTTCTCAATTAAAGAAATTATGAATAAGTGAGTATCAATTTAAAATACAAATAGAAAGAATATTAACTTAAAACTCTAAGTTTTACATAATTTTTAATATAATTTAATAAATTATATTAGTGTAGTGTTATGCTTAAAATAATTCAACAAATTTTTAGAAGAGAATTCAAAATACAAACTAGCATTTTTTCTCAGTGAATTCATTGATATATGAACTCATTTCAATGAAATTCTACAAATTTGTATACTACAAGAAACTGATCATTTAAAGGCAGTTGATTAGTCCGATTTAAATCGCCTCTGTTTACACTTTGGCGGTTGGTGATTCGACTGGGCTTTAAAGACCATATCAGCTCTGTTTTCCTCCTTGCAATGGTCTTTGAGCCAAGTGTATGCGAGATTGCCTGTTTCTGTCTATTTGCAATATTGATTATACTATATCTCTGCAAATGACACATACCGGTGCCCGTAGTGCCACTCCGGGTGAGTAGGCTGAGGGAGAGGGGGAGCAATAGGTGAAAATCCGAGTCACGCCCATATCTGAAGCGGAATGTGGCACCCACCCTTGTCTGATCTGCCTGGGTCAGTACACTCGCACAATTGTCTAAACAAATACGCGAGAACAGCATACCCTCAGCTATACTGTCCAATCTCTCCAAACTCTCCTGCAAGCAAGGCAATATAACAACATGCAACGATGCTACCTCCTGATCGGTCGCAGAGGAGCCATGATCCCAACATACGCGCAATATGCACCTTAGTAAAAAATATAACTTGCTTTGGATGCGCAACAAATGGACCCCAATGCACATAGAGTCTATCTAAGTATGAAAGCTTCACATCTCCAAAAGGGAGCTCAGCCTCGACGGGAGCATGACCAAACACCTCCTAACACACTACCCGCTAGTCCAAAGATGTACCTTCGGTGACCACTTTTTCGTCAATCGACAATCCCAAGATAGCTACCACATCCTGCAGGGTAATGGTCATCTCGCTCTGCGTCATGTGGAAAGTATGTGTCTCTGGTATCCATCTCTCCACCAGAGCACTAATCAGGTGGGATAAAACTAAAATACATGTAGATAAACTATCAAATAAACCAAATTTCAAGCACACAATTTTTTTTTCACATTTTGCATTAAAATTAAAATATTCTAATATATTACATTCTTATATGCATACTTGAATATATCGCATGCATGCGACATGTAAGAAGCCAGCCTGCGATGGTTAGTCTGCCACAATGTCGGAAATATTGTGAGGAGATGGTCCCCACTGCATCCTACCGCGTCTAATTTTCAACTGGTGAATCTTCTCCTTGTTCCACACAACCTATGAAACATGTGTGCACTGCGTGCGCCTCCGAAGTACTTCCCACCTGTATGGTCCTGGAAGCACGAGTGTCGTGGGATCCGAAGGCTCAGCCTCGTATCGGATATGGACCGAGGTGACTCAGAAGATGACGAGTCAACTATAATAATGTACTATATAAAATTACAAATTAATTGGTATAATTAATTTTATTTTTAAATAATTTACATGCCTAAAATAACATTTAAAATATATATTAAATTACATGTATAAAATATTCTTAGGTCACTACCAATTTCTAGGTCACTAACATTTCTTAAGTCACTAACATATTCCTAAGTCACTAGTATAACATATCTACTGTTGTATTTAAAAAATAAATAAACCAGATATGAAGACTTACTTGTCAGATAGGTTTCGTTGCACAAAAATCTCCACAAGAAATCTAGAAAAAAGTCAGAGAACAATTTTAGAGAGAATGTGTGAAAGTGGAAAGTGAAAAATTTAGGGTTTATATAGACGATAGCATTCACACGTGGTCTCGGCGTGACTAATCACGCCTAATTTAGACGTAAATT